AGGCAGAGGGGGGGAGCTGCCCCGGGCCGGGGGTGGGCGCGCAAGGTGGAAGTTTCGCCTAGGGCGCGAAACATCCTTCCACCGGCCCTGGGTGGGGTCATCCATCTGCATAGATTAACTTCCAGGATCTGGGCCTAAATTAGACAAACATAAATTCATGTTTCTGAAAGGAAAAACAGTAACTCTCGATGGTCAAGGCAAAACCCTAAAACTAACTTTTTATTTTCTTAGCAAATTAATCCAGAAGAAGAAAATGGTCACATTATAACAGAGAAAGCAGATACAGCATTAATATTGACAATGTATAAAACAGTTTGTTTTTTTCACCATTTGTATCATGAGCCAAGTGGGTATTTTAGCCAAAATTTTCAAACTTGATTATCTAAAATTAGACAACCAAATCCAGCAGTAGACCTCAAATCAGCAGCCTCAGAGTCAGAGGAGCAGAGCACTTGCAGCCGCCAGTAGTCAGTCATTCAGAGCTGTTGGTGCACAGTGTGTTTTAATAAACACCACTCAGCCTGATCAAACAATCACACCTGGATTGTTAGGCATTCCACTATGAAACTTTTGGGCTCAGTTTTTACAGCAAAGTTGGTATTTCAAAAGACAAAATGCTTTAATGAATTTATCATTTTTTCTTATGATATAAATGGGTATACGAATATAAAGGGTCAAATTTTGCATGCTTTACTCATAGGAGTAGCCACATAAAGCTACTTCCATAATGCTAGAAAAATGTGGTCAGTACCGTACATAGATATACATATATTCACCCATTTGATTATAATTCTCAGTACTCAGATGGCATTTAAATAAGACTCGTGGCTAAGTTATAGAATTTTTTTTGTAAATGGCAAAAACAATTATTGTTTCAGAGTGACTTATCTACAGAATTTAACAATATGAGTGAAGACCATACCTCTAGTAGGAATATGACTCCAATTTCTCCTGGTGAGTGTTTGCAATGCTCTTTACTGAAAAGGTTTTCTTTTAAGCATGCTAGCCTTGCATAAAATTGTCACAGTTAGGATTTTAAGTTGTTTAAATAGACACTGTCAACTTTAAAACAAACAAACAAAACTAACTACATTTCAAGTTCAGCTGTTTCAAGTATGAGCCAGCCCCTGAAATCACCATTAGTTTTGGGACTTTTAGGTACATTTCCTATTTGATAGAATGTGTTGTGTTTTCTCCCCTCTCCTGTGTTGCTGTGTCTATCCTCACAAAGATAATTAATTATTAGAGAAACATATTTCTTTATTTTTGTTTATAGTAAGCTCAAAAAAAGGCCTGAGGTACAAATGTGATTTTTTTTTTTTTTTTAGTTGATATTCAAAGACAGATTATCCTTTTTTTCCCCTTTAACAAACTGTAAAATACTAGTAAAAGTAATGGGTAATGGCCAAGTAAATTTCTGAAGGTGTACACAGCAAGCTTTTGAAGCTAACTATTTCCTAAGTACAAAGGGACCCAGGAGAAAATCACTCTAAGTATCTTGTCAGGTAAATAATCCCCTCTGGACAGCCCCATCACTGAGGCCAGAGAAGTAGAGGTACAGATGTGGAAAACTGAATCAAATTTTTCACTCACTCTCTTCCTTAGACTTCATCCATCTTGCCTCTCCCTTCTTCCTCAAACTGAGGCTTGACTTGCCACTCCCCCAAGTCTGATCCATCCTTAGGGTTGGTCTACACTGTGGGGGGGATCGATCCAAGATACGCAACTTCAGCTACGCGAATAGCGTAGCTGAAGTCGAAGTATCTTGGATCGAATTACCTGGGGTCCAGACGGCGTGGGATCGATGGCTGCGGCTCCCTCGTCGACTGCACTACCGCCGCTCGCTCTAGTGGAGTTCCGGAGTCGACAGTGAGCGCGTTCGGAATGGATATATCGCGTCTTAACGAGACGCGATATATCGATCCCGAATAAATCGATTGCTACCCACCGATACGGCGGGTAGTGAAGACGTACCCTTAGTTTCCTAATTCTCCCATTTGGTCTTCTCTGGTAATATACACTTAAAGCACTGAGATGTGCCTACAACCTTAACTTCCCCTTACAGTGTTCTGTGCAGGAATATATATTACCCAGCATGTTTATGGTACTGTCTGTAGTTTAAAATCTTTCTCAAGTCAAAATCTTATTCTTAATGAGTCATAGACTTACTTAATTAACATAATTTTTGTAGACAGCAGAGTAAAGATAAGATTCTCTCTGACTGTGATGCCTGGTAAGTGAAGTGACAAACTAAATCTTATACACCATTTACCTCTGTAATATTTTTCTAGATTGTCCTACATATCAAGCTCGCTCTAACACCCACAATTGTTTTGTCAAAATACCATACATAAATTTGTGTTAGTGGGCTATATAAGTTTGAATTGATTTACCTTATCACATGATATAGATCAGCTGCCATCTGGAGGTTTTGAGATCCACTGCTAAATAGTGCGGTTTACAATGTTATTTTCTGAATGCAGACTCAGGACTTGTAACCTGAATCCATAGACTGTAGCTTTAATTAAAAAAACAAAGCCAAAAAACCAAACCCTACCTTTTTTTAAATGGGAATTTTTGCTTTCCTCAGGAAGACAAGTTTTTAAAATCGTTAATTTTTTTTAAATGCTAGGATAGCATCAAGCTTTTCCTGATACAAAGGGTAGGGATTTTCTAATGCGTTTGATATGTTGGCCTAGCTCTGCTCCTATTGAAACTGGCACTTACTGCTATACAAATGTTTAAACCCTGATTCTGCTGAATGAATACTAGCCCTAGATTATTGGAAACTGACTACATTTTTGTTTATATTTCAGCTGTTTATACTGTAAATCACTTACTGAATTAAAAACATATTTCGAAAAGCTTTTCATGTTATAGTAAAATATGTTTACAAAGATAATTACTATATTGCTTAAACTTTTTTTTTAAAGTTTAAAAGATCCCACAGCTGTATAAGAGAAGTGGTTTATAGTAAGAAAACAAATGTGAGCTGTCTGAAATTATTATTGAATGTTTTGCCCAGTAATTGTATTTGCCTAAGTGTTTCAGTTGACTGTTATCATGACAAATGCAACATTCCTGGATAATCTTTGTTGGAATTTCTTTTTTGTCTGCATCATACTGAGCATACTCTGTTCATGTTATTTTAAAAGAATATGAGAAACCCATCTTGGACCTTTACCAGTAGCCTTTTTCTTTCTAAACAATGCATTCTCTTCTGTTATTACATACTGTAAATCAAACTGTTCGATAGCTGACCCTGCTGCAAGAGAGCAAAAAGGCAAAGGTGACCTAAAAATGAATATTTCTCCACAGATATTGAGAGGAAGGAGGAGATGCCAGAGAGTCTTCATCAGTCGTCTGGATACAGTTCACTATTATCCACAGACCCATCTCCTAAAGCCGTAACCATTAATTATCATGGTTTGACAGAGATTTCAAAGGTAAGTAAAACTGGCAAATGCTTAGTTGATTTCCTTTCTAAGGTCAAGAGAACAAGTAAGCATTAGTTTTAGTTGTATATACTACTGGCAAAAAACAGCAAAACTATGCAAAACTTCATCTAGGTCTGTCTCATAAAAATCCTTTTGATATGTAAACAGTGCTTAAAGTAATTTTTTGCATGAATTCTCCAGGTTAAAAGTCCATTTCTGAAGATCGTTGGCTTTGAAGGATTGCCTAAATATGTTGCTTTTAAATTGCAGGAGACAACAAGACAAAGAATGGAAAGGATAAGTAAAATGTAAGTAATAGAAAAGGGCAGCAGGAATTCATTTCCCAGTAGGGAATTGTACTGGACTAAGACATATATAGAATGTGCATATGTGTTCCAAACCTCAAAGGTCTCTACATCAGGTGTGGCATTTCCTTATGACTCCACTGGATAATAAATCCACTTACAGTTCTGTGTTTGTGGGATGAGTCACTGTTTTGGTTTGTAACAAGCAATATAATGCATTCTTAATGGTATTAACTAGAGATTAAAGAGTGTTTAGAATTTGGTTGACAACTAATAGGAGTATTATCTGTCTTCTGATAAGAGTTTACTGGAACTACATAAAACTTGTGTTCAAACTTTGAGGTGAAATTTTAAATGAAAAGAGCTAGACCAGTTTCAGACCAGGCATCACATAAAGATACCCAAAATAATAAGCAGTATCTACTGCTGGTTCTGAGATTTGTAATGAAAATTTACAGGTAGAAATAACTTTCATTACACTTGCTGAAGTAAAATGAAATGCATCATCACAGTGCAACTTCTATTCAACAAGATTTCTGTATCATACAAATGAGTTACTTCAGGAAGCTGAAGTCATTAATCTTGTCTGCCACTTTGCAAAAACCTAAGCTCTCTGATGGTGACAGCCTTTTTAAGGCTAATTTGTGATATACAAAGTGTCTATTATCTCCTCCATTAACTTTATTTTTGTGAGTTTTGTTCCTTCTCTATGTATATTTTTTTAAATGTCTCTCTCAAATAACAGCAAATCTAATAGCCTGACCAGTGTAAAAACAAACAAACAAAAAGTCAGAAATGCTGCTTTGTTACTTTAGCTTCATTCATTAATAGTAAATGTTTGTTTTAGTCTTTGTTTTAACCAATTTTAAAAATATTTTTAGGATTGAAGAAACTTCAGAATTGCTGAAAAATTCAAAGTAACACATCGTAGACAATTTTCTGTCTAGACTTCTGGATCTCAAAACTATTATGTAAATTTGTACAATTTTAAAGTTATTTTGAATATATTATCAGTTTTAAGGACTATAATTGTTTTAAAATTGTTTTTATTTTTACTTGAAGAATAAATGTTTTTTAATATCTTTTGTGTCATGATTACATTAATTTTAACCTTTTGCTAAAGAAAATTGCATGAGTTGAAGTCATTACAGCGGTGTATTTTTGTGTTGACATTTGTTGGCAGCGTGCTAAGTAATATGTTTTTTAAAGTGCAGGCTTGAGGACCATGGTTTACATCCTGTTGGAAACACTCCAGCTGGGACTTGCATATTGTACCCAAGAGACTTTCTTACATACCATCTTGCCATCTGTACTGTTCAATAAGACTTAATGAAAACTTAAATGCACATATTGTAAATGTGTACCTTTTTTGTTTTGTTTTTTTAATTATAAATTTTCATGGTTTAGTCAGAAAGCACCCCAACACATTATGGCTTCCATTAACACTGACAAAGTGAAGGTCATTTGGATCCTAAACACTAAAATGTGTAAGTCAGTCCACAGACTTTGACTATGAGAGATGTGGTGAGTGTTTTAGTGCTCTATTACCCAACACATTTTAAGACCAGCAGCACAGATGGAGACCATCCAGTGTACAAAGACATACAACATTTTTATGATTTGAAACTATATAAAATTTCTCTTTTGAGACATAAGTAGATGTAAGACTTCCATAAACATGATATAGTCAAATCAAAGGTGTCAGTGTGGGCTGTGTAGAGAGATGGGATTTCATCCTTCTTTTTTAAATTATTGGGTATTTAAAGTGTTACAACATGCTGTAGCTATTCATATTCCTTTGATTCACATGAAAAGATCAAAAAATGACATTGCAACAGCTGAAGATATCAAGACTTTAATGGTATAATTTTCAGATGGAGCATCTGTTTGTTCTTCCGTTGTAAAAATGATTGATTTGATTTAATAATAATTATAAATATGTTCCTCCATAATTATGTGATTGATTTCATTTTACATATCCAAACTGAGTAACATACAGTTATCTGTTGTTGCTTCATAAACTCAGTGAAAAGCTTAAGGACTGAACACACTTGTAATAAACTCCCATTTTTTTCCAGTATACTTAAGTTGCAGATTCCCTGGGAAGCAAGCTTTACACTGGTGATGGCAACTTACTTTAAAGTTTATTTGGAAATACCCCTGGCTCACAACCCACTACTCCAGTATTCTAAAGAATAATTGTTTAAATTGTTTCATCTAGAGAGAAGAAAAATTTCCTACTGATCTGAGATGGTGTCTGTTGTGTGCAGTAAATAGAAATTATAGCACCATCTTGTGGTGCATATTTATACGAAGTATTTTTCAATGTAGAATAAAATTGTTTTGATACAGAGTACCCACAATCACTGTTGCTTTGAAACAGTAATGACAATGTTTTGAGTATCGACTTTTCATTGTTTACTATATTGTATTGAAACAGGCTTCTAACTGGTAATTTAGGGTGGAAATTACTGCAAACAAAGTGGCATGCTCCCAAAAGTGCAACTCCACTGTTAGCAACAACAACAGGAACAGTAGCTTAGATGAGCAATGCCACTTTTATCATTGTGGTGACTAGAGGTAAAAATACTAGTATCCTATGTATACCAACACACTGGTATATCTCCATGACTGGTAATGAAACAGTTGGCGATTTTCCCCCCAAAGAGTTAGACATTAGAGAATGTTTTTCCTAACAGCTTTTATCATGACTAGTTTCTTTCAACTTGCCTAACAAGAATTCCGGGGTTTCAAAATGTAGATGTTTTACATGACTACTGTTTTTCTCTATTTACTGTGCTGCTATTCACACTTTAAAGTTCTTAAAGATGCTTCTTTAAAAGAGAAGAAAAATCAGTCCACTGCAGAACAGACACTCCTTTCCTGAATACCTTTCTTCTTAATTTATATAATTTAAAGAAATTAATTGAAGTCTCTCTCTCTCTCTCTCCTCATAGATCATACAAAAGAATCCCACCTTTCAATTCTTATGATACTCATGATCACGTAAGGGATAATGAAGCATAATTGTATTAAAGTGGAACACTGAAGCAGGACCTCTTCCTAAAATTGCAATTGATCTTGGACTGGGTTCTAAATCTTCTAGTAGATGTGAACTGAAGCATGCATGCTTGTTTGAACAGTCAAAGTAACAAAAAATAAAAATAAAAAAAAACAACAACCCCAGAACCATAGCAATCATCCAATATTTTTTAAAAATTATTTAGAACATGCTTAGCTTGTGTAATAACCATAAAAATCTGATAGTTACTGAAATATAATCTGAGTCACAGCCCTTTTGTTAATCTTACTTGGGGTTGCTATAGAGGGCTTCTTGGGTTTTAATATTTGAATGCTGTGAAGCATAGCTAGTAAGGGAACAATTGCATTATATGGCCTTAGAATGCACTTTAGGCTTTATCATAGTTATTCTAATAGAGATGACAGAAACAGTATCTCGCTAAGGGCCTGACCTAAGTCCCCTTGACCTAAATGGTCTCAACTTAGTAATGCTTTGGGGGGGTGGGGGGCAGGATTTAATTCTTAATTCTCTACAGTAGCTGTGATCTGTGCGTGTGTGTGTGTGTGGGGAGGGGGTTAGTCACCATTATTACTAAGTATGTCCCACTTTCTTGTTTTTATGCTGCTTCTATGAATTATATTTCATAACTTTACACTGGTCCTTGGGGAGAAATATATTTCTTCCTTGTATTATTGAGTAGCTCACCAGCTGGTCAAAAATATGCTGGGTTTTTGCAAAGCTGAAATGTTTCATGAACACACGTACATTTTGAAGAAATTTTCATGGGGAAAGTTTTTGGGGTCCAGGGTTCTTTGGTCACTTTTAACGAGAAAAAGACTAACATACTTTGTAGGTTGGTGATGTGTAGGCTACTGGCTTGGGATGTGGGACACCCAGGTTCGAATCCCTGCTTTGCCTGATTTAGAGTTTTTTTTCATCCAAGATCACTCTGAATCAGGTAGAGCAGGGATATGAATCTGATTCTCCTACTTCCCCAACCACAGCCCTAACCACCAGGCTGTAGAAGGTGAGAGTATACTCATCCTCAGCTCAGGTTTCGAACCCACAGTGGATATTTTGACAGAACTCTGTTTTTCAAAAACAATGGAAAGGTTTCTGTTTTGTTCCAATGTGGAATGAAAACAAATTCTAAACCCTAGAAAGTTGCCATGGAATGGAATTGTTGTCTCCAGACAGCTCTACTGAAGAGGAGAGATCCTTTTTATATACTTTGTCTGCTAGTGTTTGATTTCCCCATGGTGTAATCTTCTGGAGTGGTGTTTGTTTCTGTAGCACTCCATAGATGATGTGTAGAGCTCATGTTGTGAATTCTAAGAAATGGTTATTATGCTGCTCTTTTAACCTATTAACATGAGGTACTGGTGCAGCTTTGAAAAAAACACTCTAGTATACAAATGCTCTCTGCATCTTAAGCACATCTGAAACTTGTTCCCTGGCAGTGTGTATTTGTTCCATTGGAATTGCACTTCTAATTTATCAGGGTTTTTTTTTTGTTTTCAGTCCGAGAAAAAAGGCACTTTAGTTATGGGAAAAACTCCAGTGGGAAAATAAAGTAACATCACTGACAAAGCTAAAATTCTGGTGCAGTGGAGCTGGTTTTGCCTGTAATCTTAAGGGGATACACGTTGAAATTAGGACCAAAAATTGATGGTAATTGGGCAGTCTCAAATGCAGTAAAGAATATGGCTTTTCGTGACACACCCTTGGGCCATCAGAAAGACAACTGTGGCCGTATTGTGTTTGTAATGATTTATACAAGACATAACATAGTGTTTAATCGTTGACTTGCAATAAGTCACTGAAAGTATATTTTTAACAGATGTGTTCCAAGGCTGTCCATGAATTTTAATCTGTATATTTCTGTTCTAGTATAGGTCAGCAAATTGAACAGAATTTAGAGATAATTTGTTTGGGATTATTTGTGAGCCTTGAGTATTGGTCAGCGACTCTTGATTTCAGGGAGAGAGAAGCTGGAAAAAGCTTTTTTGTGCAAAATCCTGAATTTGGCTTATACAAGAAAATTGATTTCTTTTTTGAGTCTCTGCGCATGTGGCTCTTGCCCATGGTGTATATACACCCGCTGCATCTGAGTGGGATCCACATGCACAGAACATCTTGATGAATCAGTTACTATAAGGTAAGAAACTGTTATTGTATAGTTGAAACTTTGTTTGAACTGATCAAATGGGAGCAAATGTTTGCTTGGAAGACAGTATGAAATAGGATTATCGCAACCTTAGGTATATAGAGAGGTATATGTAAACTAAATCCAGCAGTTTGTTTTATGCCAAATTTGTAGTAGTTTAACTATTATCAACATATCATGGAGTATAGGTGGAGTTCTGATATGCATGTGAATAGATTATAGTGGTGCATTTTATTTTGTTTGATAGGTAACAGATATAGTATGGGTGCGCTTGATTGTACAGAGTAGTGTTTCCATTTCCATATTATGCCAAGTTAAGATTCAAAATTACATAGTTTTCAGCTGTATGGCCTTGGATAATTAATCTACAGTAACTTCTGTACCTCAGTTTTCAACATCTGTAAAAAGAAGAGTGATGCCTGTCTGTTTGCCTCACAGGAGCATTGTGAGGATTGATCAATTGTTTGCCTTATGCTTTGAAAATGTGGCGTTTCTCTAACATTGTAGGTATAGTTTTCAGAGTTCTTTAATTTAAGCCAATCAATTCCTTTCCTTATTCAATTATTTAGGCTCCATCTTATTCGAGTCTTAAATGTTTAACTCTTTTTGAAATCCTCCTCTCTCAAAGTACTTCAAAGTTGTATCAGTACTGTAACAAAATATGGAAGTTGGTGCTGGATGGGCTTCTTTGCTTGAATTTCTTCATCAAACTAATATTTATCCTGTGTTATAGTGACACCAAGACCTTGCAAGACTATAGACTTAAATT